TACGTTCTGGCAGACGCTGTTTCGCCTTCTCGGCACACGACTGTCGATGTCGACGGCGGACCACCCGCAGACGGATGGCCAGATGGAGCGCGTCAATCGCGTGCTCGAAGACACGCTCCGCAGTATCTGCGCGGAGATGCCCCGCGCTTGGGCTGATCGCTTGCCCATGGTTGAGTTCGCACTCAACAGTGCGGTACATGCATCGACGGGCTTTACGCCCTTTTACCTGGACGGGTTGCGCCACCCTCAGGTGCCGCTCACATTACGAGGCAGTACCGGGGCTTCGGTCCTAAGTGGGGGAGAAGCTCGGAAAACCTTTTCCTCCCAAGTCTCGGACGTGAGTCCAGCCACCTTGCGGAAGCAACTGTCCTCGTTTACCGAAGACAGGCTGAACATAATCAGCAGGGTGCGAGACATCATGGCGCAAGCCCAAGATAAACAGAAGGAGTACTCTGACCGAAATGGAAGAGGAAACATGAACGTGTTTAAGGTTGGGGATTTAGTTCTCCTAGATACTAGAAACCTACCGCTAAACACTGTTAGCTCGGTCGAGAGCAACCAGCTGAAGTCACGGCCCTCAGCCGGCATGGCGCGGCGTACACCATAGACTTGCCCAAGTCGATGACGACTCACCCGACGTTTTACGTGGGTCGTCTTAAGAGGTACCATGACCCTCTGGCTCTGGCTGCCCCGCAGGAAGCGGTGGGTGGTCCGCTGGAGAAGAGCGCAGCTCCTCGAAGCGCGGCGTCGAGTCGCGGTAAGGCGCCTGATACGCGCGCTGGTCGTAAGACGGCGCGGCGTACATCGGAGCAGCATACGCAGGGGCCCCGTACGAGCCCTGGCCAAACTGGGCCTGATACGAGTGGGGCTGCTGCTGCTCCGGATACGGCGCGTGGCCATGAAGCTCGGCCCGAAGGCCAGCGAGCTGGTTTCGCAGCGAGTCGTAAGACGACAGGTCGGCTCGACGATCCACACGGCCATGGAGACTGCGAGTTTCTTGATAGAGCGAGGCAACATCCTCACGGAGCCGCTCCACGGCACCAGGCTGACCAGCACGAGCGGCAGCCTCGCCACCAAGGCCGACGCCAAGCGCGATCTCGAGGACGTACACACGGTCCCGGAGAAGACGAATCTCCTCTTGCTGCAGGGCCACCACCTGACTCGGGGCCCCAGCATACGGCTGCGTCGCCTCAGGCTCGTAGCCATGGCCATGCGAGGCCACCGCCGGCCCTGCTTGATCGTAATGGGCAGATCCACTACCACGTGGAACGAGTCGTCCGAGAGCGGCGGCTCCATGGCAAGCGCCAGCTGCTCGTGAAGTGGAGGGGTTACCCTGAGTCAGGGAGCCCGTTGAGCAGCTCCAGGCAGACTGCCCGAAGGCTGTTGCGATATGGGACGAGAAGCAGCGGCAGCTTCGTAAGTAGTCCTTGGCTTCTCGGCCGGTACCCGGGGCACGGTAGCAGACGTAGTCGCACCACGCCCACGCTCTTCACGAGCTTTGGCTCTCGCCTCTTGCTTCAGCTCGTCCATCTTCGAGTGGAGCTTGCGCTTGCTCACGAGTTGAGCGAACTCGATGCGGAGCTCGCGCACGTCCAGGATTGCGGACATAGTGCGATCCTCACGGAGTTCTTTGAACTCTTGGTCGGAATACCCTTTGCGGTGGATGTTGCGCCAGAAGAGGTCTTCCACCTCGCTCCAGGTCATGTTGTCATTCGGCTTGACCCAGTGGAAACCCCACACAGGATGGAGTCCACCCTTGTCCTCCGGCTTCCTGCGAAGGGTGGTGAACTCCTTCAGTGTGAGCTTGTGTGGTGCTAGTAGCACACACCGGGCGACTTCAACGTCGCCAAGAAAGAGTGGCTCTTTCTCAACAAGAGCACGCTCATAGGAACCCCTCGAGGTGTACCCGCCGATAAGGCCACGAGGAGCCGAGAGCTTCTCCAACAGCGCTGGCGCACCAGTGCCAGGCTCGGGCGGGAAGTAGCCCTGCGGGTACGTGGCATCCCCGCCTGAAGAAGACTCGATGGCAGTCGTGGCAGTCGGCTGCCTGGCATACGCACCCGAGCTAGCAGCGTGGTATTGCTGCTGCTGCTCGTCGAGGTTGTTGGAGAGCTCCTTGGGCTCGTGGACGGCACCCTCCTCGTCCTCAGACTCCGAGGCGATGAACAGCTTGGAGCTGGAGCCGCGAGGCGACCTGGAAGCTGAACGCTTCTTCGCCTTGGCCTCGGCGGCCTTCGCAGCGGCAGCCGCTTTCGACGCTTGGGCACGCTCACGACTTTGTGCCAGCGTCAGATGCTTGGATGCCAGCACCTCCTTGGGCTTGGACACCGCGTCGCTCGGCGACTTCATGGCCACGACCCCAGCGTCGACCATGGCGACTTCGTCGTGCGACTGCTTGCTGTCGCCTGAGCCGGACTCGGCGTCCTCCGCCTCCTTCTCTGACGAGGCCTTTACGTCGGCCGAGGCGTTGGTCATGTCGCCTGCCGCCAGCTCCGTGCCTTCGGCAGCGTGCGTGCTGCCCTCCGAGACGTTCTCGTCGTCGGGTGAACTCTCACCGGAGTACTGGACCATCGTGCAGTCAAAGACGGCGGCTTCCCAGTCGCGAGCCGGGCTTTTATGGCCCCGAGGACTCTCCTCCTTGCCTTGTGTGGCGTCAGGAGACTTGCTCCGAGCCCCGGCCTGACGGCCACTCTCCGGCGTGCTGCTACGAGAGCGCACCACCTCCTCGGCCGCCTTCGTAGCCTCCATCAGCGCGGACGACTCGTCCTTGGCCTTGGCCGCCCTAGTCTTCGGCCCTATGGCCCGCGGTTTCGGAGGTGCTTTCGCACTGCGCTTTGGAGGCATGCTTCCAGTCGACGTGGAAACCCTGCGGCTTGCTCGGCGATGCGCCAGTTGCTCTGTGAGGCCCGGGAGCCGAGGCGCCAGAGCTCGCGCCGTTGTCGATGGATTTCGACTTTGCGAGTGAAATGTGAGTCACCGGCGTAACCTTTTGGTCGATAAGATCGAATCTCAGTGGGGGAGGATGTAACGGGGTTACATGGAATAGTGACCTTGTCACTATTCCGGGATGGCTACATCGGTCACTCCCCTGGATAGTGGCCCAAGTGGCCTCAGAGCCAACAGATACATTTTGTATGACACAAACTATAGGGAACTTAAGATTTGTATGCAGGCAAATCTGTACCAACCTATAAATACATTCAGTCTTAGATCTACCGCTTTTCAAGTCAAGTCGTCCCCTTCAGACCAGGGACACGTGAACGGCTGTTCACTTGGAGTTTGTATACTCCTGCTTCCTCTGTTAAGAAGTGCTGTGTGTCCCGTCACACTGGAGATGACGCCATCAACAGGAAGCTTTGTACAAAAACTATAGGAGTCCAGCCAAGGCACTTTTATGGAATTTATTGTCAATAATTGGGCCAATTTAATATTGTACGGGGACCACTGTAGCCCAATAATAAAATGTATATTGAAAAAACTGATTATGTATTGTATTGCACTATTTTTTCCGACCTCTGGTCCAGCGTAATAGTTGCCGCTTTTCCACCTGTAGTGTCTCTCAGAACAACGTCACAATCTGCGACGTCAGAACTTCTGACAGAACTTCTGTGCACACCTTCTACGAGCCCTGGGGAGAGCCGGGCTCCTGGGCTCTTGAGTTCAATAGGTTAAGTGAATGGAGCCCTCCAGAACTGTGAGCCCTCGTTAAGACCCCCCCCCCCTCACCTGTGTTAAATATCTCGCTGATGATTGGCCGTCATTGAAGTATCTCCAGGTTCTAACCTGAAAAGGCATAGGAAAGAGGGCTTCTCCTTGAGGGAAAGGAAGGACGATCAGCGACGCTGGGGTGGCCTCGTAGCGGCTGTACACATATGAGCGGCGCGAGATCTTCTAGTGTGGTGATCTTTGAGCTCGATCTTCTAGCGTGGCGCATCGATCACGCGAAGTTGCTCGCCTTAAGTCTAGGTAAAGTTGGCCAATCAGATATTACTATGAAGAGCCCGTCATAGATTTGAAGCTAAATTTGGGGGGAGCCCGAACAAGGGCTCCTTGATCTCGTACTTACCATGAGGGAGCCCATTTTGTGCGACTTTTGGCTCTCGTATTAGGGGGAGCCCACTTTTGAAGATGACGGGCTCGGGCTCGTAGAAGGTGTGCTTCTGTGGGTCCCCAAAATCGTGAAGCTGTTGACAAAGATACTGTAGGCATCTTACCTCAGCTTTGGCAAGTATAACTCCAGTATGATGTACCGGCACCTATCTTGACAACGAATGAGTTTCATCGTTAACATGACCTTGATAGCGAATGGATGAAGACCTCTAGCCAGCATAGCGACGAGTTGGAGGGTCTGAAACCGGAGCTCACCCCAGTACTGTCACCCTTACTAGTGAGTAGGAGTGCACGAATTGCCAAGTTAAGAGAGGGCGCCTCTTAACTGACGTCATGTAAAATAAATCGTTTACGAATTTTGCGAAACAAACAAAAATGAACGTACACTCTTTATGGAGAGGTGATATCAACAGCGCGCTAACTGCAGCGGGGACGACGACAGGCCCCCATCACTATTTTTAACTAAACGATTGTTTTGTCACAGATTGTGACAACACCGCGATTTGCTGCTTTTCCACCTGTAGTTTTCAAAACAACGTCACAATCTGTGACTAAACAATCGTTTAGTTGAATGCAAGAAAAGAGGTACACATCCGAAACGCCATCATTCGCAACCGCGCTTTGTTTGCTCTTGGTTTGCAACGGCTCTGAGCCAAGCCTGTCGGTTCAACAAACACTTGATAGCAAGATCCGATATGTGAGGCTTGGACTCTACTGTACAGGGCATGCAGACTAGGTATCAAACAGTAGCGGAGCCCACTCTTGTGCCGGACGAACCTCGAGAGCATCTCATTCCACAATTTGCTTCACGGCACCCGAGCAAACCACCACAGCCCTGCAAATAACCCCGCCAGGACTTCCGTCCAAAACCTCAAGAACCGACAACCACTATGCGTCTCACTTTCATCTTCGCGGCGGTCATCGCGGCCTCTCTCCATGCCAGCGGCGCTGCCCTCCCTTCGGCCACGGCATCCAATATCGCTGAGGTCGAGAACGAGGCCTCCTCTGCTACCGCTGATTCCGCTCACGCCGATGGCGGGCGAATGCTTCGCCGTGTCGAGAAGAACGACGAGATCGATGAAGAGCGAATTGACTGGTCGAAGGTTTGGGCGAAGCTCACTTCGAAAAAATTCACGAAGGGTCAGAACATGAGCCCAACGGAGCAGCACAAGTGGCTTATTAGGCAAGCAAAGAAGCTGGGCATGAACACGGACGGCATGTAGCGAGGCCTAGTATGCACTTCCATCGCTTGAATACGCGACAGCGATGTAATACACTACGGGGAATATATTGCTATCGTTCAGTCTGAAATCGCGTATAATCCACTGTTTGTTTATAACTTCACACTAACGGTTTTTCCCGAATACAAGACCTGTAGGAAATAGAAGTCCGGTCAGGAACAGGTTGGAGTTACTGAAAATAGAAGTCATGTACCAAATAAAAGACCGGACATCTATTTTTTTATAAATGTACTCAAACATTTAGTTTTTAAAAATGTTCGCCCGAACTCTGCTTTGGAGCTCGAGCTCATTCCAACCCTATTGGTTTTGCTTCACAACGATACGATGTACCTGGAAAAAGCAATGAACTGTGGCCGTCAACCCGTCAACCGATCTCGCTACATGTACTCCATCAGCATTAATGTCTTAGACAAAGATCTACATGTAAACTGCTAAAGAAGATGAACTGAACGACTGTTTATTTTTTCGTGACGAGCATTGAACGCCTACTTGCGCTTTTGCAGCGTCTTGTACGGCCTAGAACTTACTTGTGTGGCCCAGACACTTCGTTCAAAACCCTTTTAAGCTGCTGCTGCTGCAAGTGCAGGGCAAACGGATAGCGAAAGCGGTTAAACCCCCGCGGCTAATGTACTCGAGGGGCTGCTTCTTACCCAAAAGCTTATCGATGTGAGCTTGAGCGTACCTCCAGGCACCCTGATTTAGCGGCTCTACCTAAGCCTAGACAAAACTTCTTGGCATCTCGACTTGGCCAGCTTGTCAGTCATGAATCGGAACGGCGTCAATGCTTTCAGACGAACCAATGCAATGATCCCGGGGTTCTTACTACGAGCGAGACGCTCCTTTGCGAGCTCATAGACAATTTGACCAAGAAAAGTAGATCTTCCTTAGTACAGAACCAGCCTTGATGCAACACTTCCATGAAATAGAAGTCCCCACCCGAATACCCCACCCGAATACAAGTCCCCTCGTCAGAATTGTTCGGTTTGCAGGGGCTTATGAGAATTAGAAGACCGGCTTATTTTCGGTAAATCCGTTAGTGGAGCATTCCGTCGCGTTGTTCAGTTGAGTTGCTGAGAGGACCGCCTGTCTGCAGTGGAATCTCCGATAGGCTGTACAGTTTGCCAGGCGTCTTGTCGGTCATCTCGGTCTTGCTCTTCGCGGACAAATTAAGTAGTGATGGGGACGTAAACGACGTTAACTGAAAACCCATCATTCGGCGTATCTATATCATAGCTTCAAAAGTTGAGCAGTAGTTTTGATGTAGTTCTAGTGCGAGTTTCGTAATTTTAACGCCAGATGCATAGTTATGACTAGCATACGTTTACACTAGCTATTGCAAAATAGCAAATTCGCCAAAAAAAACCCTATCATACAGCATATACTATATGATAGGTAAAGGTTAACGTCGTTTACGTCCCCATCACTAAAATTAAGGCTTTACTGGAGCGTTTCTGCATCGAGCAAGGCACGGCTACATCGGATTTGGCATCGCGGACCGCGATGCGAGGTGCTGGAAGTGTACTATCAACGTTTCGACGCAAGCGCGCTGCGTTTCACCCGGCACGCCAAGTTCAAGGGCCTTTGGAATTTACGTGAATGGAGAGCTGAAGGACGCTGCTGTGGCATCACAGCGTACTGCGAGCAGATGGACAGTCACTCGGAGGCTGCGTCGACCTACGAGGTGCTGATGTTCTCGTCGAAACTTCGACTGCCGCCGAATTTCACCGAGGAAAAGTGCATGAGGCTGCTTGAACTGACGCTGATCGGTGGGGAAATGACGGAGACTTCGTTTGTGGAGCAGAAGAAGCGCGTGACGGTCGGGGTGGAGGTGCTTGAGCCCGAGTATTCTGTTCCTAGATGAGCCCAAAAGTGGCCTGGATGCGCGTTCGGCGTTGATAGTCATGCGGGATGGGGTGCAGTCGATTAGCTCGCACGGTGCTGTGCACGATCCACCAGCCCAGCATGTCATGCTGTGAGCTGTTTGACGGTCTTCTGCTGCTTCAAAAGGGCGGCTACACGGCATACTTCGGTGATTTGGGTGACGACTCGGCGAAGATGCTGGAGTACTTCGCCTAAATCTCTGGCACGATGGAGATACGACCGCAGTACAACCCCACCGAAAAACTATGGAGCTCGAGGTTACGGAGCTCGAGGTACCAAAAATAGACAATTGGATATGTGGACCCAAAATTTGAATCACCCTAAATTTTCACATTTGCTGATCTTGAAATTAGTCTAGCAAGTTGCAAGATGCGGCACGGCTGCTAAAACAATATTGTACTGTACTTACAATCGATGGATATGCAGGAAGCTCGAGGTCGCTGATGGGCCCACTTGAGGGCGCATCGAGTTCGATGCTGAGCCACTACCACCGTCTGAGTACGAATTGGTGTGGAAAAAATCTGAACATTTCTGGCACGATCTGCATTTTTTTATATTCAGAGGTCTCGCTGAGCAGTGAGATCTGAGCAAGGTCAGCCTGCATAATGTCTCACTGTTATCTAATCTAGCGCCACCTTTATTGTCCTCCGAGAGCTATCAGTATTATATATTCCTCCACATTCTTTGATCTACGAATTGGAGGCCAGCAGTGTTTCAGAATCTTGTAGCAGGTACTTGTAAATAAACGTCCCCGACCTGTACAGTAAATCTATACATCGCTGAACATCGATGTATTCCTGCTGGAACATACCCGGGTTAAACTAAGGAAAGCATATGAAGCATGTAAGGATCTTTCATTTTGAACCGAGGTGCATTTTTGGACTGCTCGATTTCCAGCTCGACTTGTAGCAATGGCTGAAAATGGAAATTCGATGCGATCTACATGCAAACCAAGCTTGCAATCATATACGCGCCAGCATAATCACTTTCAGTTGTCGTCGTCTTACTTGTTGGGGGCGTGCCGAACCCGGCACAAAGTTGAAAATTACATTGCAGCGCCTCCACAGCCGGGGTGTGGCGTGGAGGTTGCCCCTTGATTACGTTGCCTTGGCCATCATGTCGCCCGCCATCCGTGCTGTTAGTTGTGAGCTCATTCTTGTGTACCGCTCAACGGCGTCCGATCTCCACCTCCCGAAAAGCTTGATGACCAAGCTGTCGTAGCCCGCATTGAAGAGTGCTGAGGCACCTCCGCTACGAAGTGAGTGGGAGCCGTAACTGTCTGGTTCGTGCCCAATGAGTTCAGCTGCGTGTTTCAAAGCACTGACGAGGTCTCGGACTTGTAAGTTGTGGGTCCGCGTAACTTTGCAGAGTAGTGTCCGCCCTCGCGCCAATGGAAAGGTGATGCTGAACGAGATACCAGCACGCCATTACTGGGCAGCATTGGGCGTGACCAGACCGACCCAGCACACGAGTACATCAATCACCAAACTGATCTGTCTTGCTGCCACGAAAACGAATTTGAACCTTTTTCACTCGATCGATCAATTCTTGGTCGCGGCCTTGATCATCCAGGAAGCGTACATCGGACCTTTGAATAGCATATTCTTTTACCCTCGTGCCGTCAGCTAGATACTCGGAGCGGCGCAAAAGAAAGAAGAAACCCAGCACCGAAGCCCCCCAGATGACTCAGTGCTGGACACAGGAAAAATCGAGGGAGCTGCGCAATTTTCCGAGGAGATGCATGGTGACGGGGGCCTTGGGGTTGGTTGGAGGGTCTTCTCTGCGCATGCCGACGACAGCAAGCTGGTGTCCGGGGGACAGTTCGACTTTGTATCCGACGAAGCGCTTGTGATACCACGAGATGTGGCAGAGTTTGGAGAGCATGGTGGAGGTAGAATTGCCTCTTTCGGACGAGTTCCATCCGAATTTCCAGCAGTAGATTGCGAAAAGTGCGAGCTGATATGAATGGCGCTCTTCGTCCTTGGGTAACCATTTAGGCAGTCGCATTTCCGTGCACCATCGCACCCACTGTGACCAAGTAGCTGTGTATTTAACGTTTGATGACGAGGCCAGTGAGGGGGATTGAAGTCATTCGAGAAGTTCGTGTAGAGTTTGCGAAAGATTGGCGGCACGGCTGTCTGTTCCCACGACACAGAAAAATTAGTCCACGCAGTTTTATAAGGATCCGTCCAGGCCCTCGATGCTGCGTCTGCCATGGTGTTGGTCGACCCTGGTAAATGCTCCACCGATACTCGTAAGTTGAAGTAGGCTTCGGCTAGACCAATTGACCTGTTGATTTCTTGGATGAGTTCATTCTTTGAGGAAAGTCGATTGCTCCACTGCACTGCTGAAATATTGTCACTCCAACACTTCACGTGAAGCATTTGGCCGGACGAATTGCTTGACCACGACGAACCCCAGGTCCACAGTGCCAATGCGATGCACAGATGCTCCCGCACATTAATGGAGAAGCTGTTGAAATGCGTGTCATCGTTGGCGATTAGAAGAGTCTCGGTCTCGTCAAAATTTTCTTGGATAAATTTATTTGCGCCAGGGTCCAGAATCGCCAAACCCATGTTTGAAGCATCCATGTACATTTCCACATCGGATGGAGGGAGATCACCAAACATGATCAGGGGTAGCGCAGCGAAATTCCCATGACCCAGGATGTTTTGAAACCATCGTAGATCCGCCTTCGCCCCGGCGGAGAGTTTTACTTTTGCAAACCGTGGTGCGGCGACTGCAAGTGCTTGCGGCTGTTGGTAAAATGGCTTGGCGGCCCGCAAGCAAGTTGACACATGTCTTAGCGTACCCTAGGAGTTTTTGTAGATCCGATTTTGTAGCTGCTAGATGCTGAATCATCGTATTTACTCGTTTGTAGCGCCTTATTTTGTCAGCTGGCATCGATATTTTGTCAGCTGGCATCGATACTGTCCGCCTTTCCGTGTTCCAGAGCAGACCTAGGGCGACGAGTTCGGTGCTCCAGTTCGAGAACTTGGCATCATTAAATGATCGGATTCCCAGCACGGCTAACATCGCATGCCGTAGGGTTGCTTCTGCGAGATGTAGCCGATCATTGACGTCCAGCTCGACTAAAATATGATCATCTACCCATTCGTAGCCAAAAAAGGGTTCGGTATCTTCGGAATCAGCGACTGTGGCAGGTGAATTAGTTGTCATCAACCACGAGATGGCACGTCCAAACAGCCCATAAAATGGTGGGGATCCCGACCATCCGAAGGGGGCTGCTAAGTCGATCAGTACAATCTTGAGGTCTGTCACCAGAGCTGCCATCCGAAATACTTGAGATGCTATAGACATTAGATGTCGGTATGCACCTTTCACATCGCCTTTTCAGGATACATACGCGGACACCAGGATGACGCGTAGCCAAGTGTTCGATACGTCGAGCAATATTAGTCACTGGCTCGTAAGTGAGGGCTGGCACCGACTTTTTCTAGTAGTAATCGTTCGTAGAATTACCAAATGGGTACGAGAGGTCGTGAATGGTTCTCACTTCAACAGAGGGATCCACGTCCTTCTTCTCAACCGCTACTAGTGGGCTGCAGATTACGTTCGACCATCGCTCCAGGATATCGGCGTCGACAACCATGTACTGCCCGCTATCTTGGCCCGCGCGGTTGCTTTTACCGACGGCTTTCAGATGTCGACGACACGACCCGTGGTTTTTGGGTGGAGGCCGAACTGGTTTGGGGCCATCGCCCCACTGTGCCTCGATACCTTTCGTGGCGATATTGATCAGGAGGTCTAAGTGTGGGTACCCACGTAGTACATACCGCAAACGATCCGGGTCAAGCGCCTTGTTTGGTCTACAGTCAGGTAGAGTTTCGCCCCTCAATAATTTTGCCGCGTCCTCCACGCTTAGCTGTCTCGATCGAATTATCTCCGATAGCGAGCGGCACGCAACCATGTCGATGACCGATTTGTCAGCGGAAGTAAAATGCGATCGTCGCAGCCCCCAGTGGCGGTGTAGCTGGGATTTTCGAGCTTCGTCTCGAAGAAGCCTTAACTCGAGCTCGTGCTGTATGGTAATAGCAGACTCCCGTGAGAGAGATACCAGATTCTGCGAAGCGGTGGAGCTGTAGGCATGCGCAGCATTATCATGGGACGAAGTCATCCTGGCTTGATGAGGCGCAATAGAATTCGATTCATACGCCGTGGTAGGATGGTGAGGACTTTGCTCAGGTTTTGAACGGAGATTTTCTGCAGCATCCACAGCAGTCACTATTTGAGGCAGCACAGATGTGTTACCCCAAGCAGTGGCACTAGGGGCAGGCTCAGCGTCGTTCTTAAGAGCAACCGTGCGTAATATTTTGATATCTGATCTGGAACGGAGATTTTCTGCGGCATCCAAAGCAGCCAATACTTGGGGCATCTCGTGGGGGTTAGCCCAACCATCAGCGCTGGGGGCAGGCTCAGCGTCGTTTGAGATTCGAGTGCAGGTTGTGAGAGATGTCTTTGACGTGGAACGGAGAGTTTCTACAGCGACCACACTAATATCGCCTGTAGGTGCCGCAAATGCACTACGAGAACGAACATCAGCGGGGGTAGGCTCAGCGTCGTTCAACTTGGGTTTGCATTCAATTATTTGGCATTCTGATCGATTCGATATAACGTTTGCAGGCTTCGTTGGGGAGTAACCGGATCGGAGCGTCATGTGTGCCGATGGCGACCGAGCAGCCACAGGTAGTCATAAGTGTTTGTATTCCGGCTTCAGTCCATCGAAGCGCTTCTCGATCTCGGCTTTGACCAAGGCGTCTAGCGTTTTCAAAACAAATTGGGCCCGGCCGTCGTGAGCTCCTTCATCAAGATCGGCATCACACCCTGCATTCGATAGAAACCACATGCAGAGCCGGCGACTTCCTCCCTGCGTGTCATTCTGCTTCGGCAGTTTTTGCAGCACTTTGGGCGGAATGGGGCCGTGTGCTTTCCTTTTTCCTCGCTGTCTCGCCGAGGCGGAACGGCCCAGGATGGCGTGCGTTGCTTCGACCGTGCCAAAGGGTGCTCTACTCGTTGATCTCTTCTGTTCTAATTGCTGAATTTGCCGTTCTTGGACTTCTTGCAATATTTCACGCAGAAGGGGTCATCCAGCGTGCATCGAAGTCGAATAGCACCCGGATCTTTATCCGAAGACGCGACTGCATTTCGGTAGCTTTCGAGAACGTCGTTCACCCAGTAAACAATGGCCGGTACGTCCTCCGGTTCCCAGCGCAGAGCCATAATCTTGGCCTCAATAAATCCAATGATGGCATCCGCCAGCTCAATCGCGCTAGTGACGCAGTATTCGCGCGCGAACACCTGGAAAACGCGCACCGCACCAACAACGTCGTTGATGCTGGTGGCTGCTGGAGCTGGTTCAAAGTCCGCTGTTGCCGAAACGTTCGAGAAATTGGCACTGCCCGAGTCTATCCACTCCATACGTTTCTTTCTGTCCATGAAGCTGAAGTGCATTATCGAGAGACCTTCAATGCCAAACTGGTAGTCGTACGCGCGAGTCAACACGCCTGGGAGAGACTTGCAAAGCAGGGCACCGGATCGGATCTGACTATGCACATAAGTATCAGGGTCCTTACCTCTGTGGCGCTCCGATGTTAGCTTGTCGTGAACTTCCTGGCGCTCTCGCTGTGGCGAAAACGCATACTTGGACTTCTTGGTCGTACTCTTGGCCTTGAACGGCGACGCCAATGGTGGTAGCGGTTGTTTTTCTTCATCATCTGCTGATGCACCGGACGCTTGAGTCCTGGACTGCTCACGGAAGTTCAGGAAACGGTCGAGTAGTTCGGGGTCGTGACTTAGCCTCGCTACAATCAGGGCATCCTTGTGGAGAGAATCAGTGGCCTCTGTGGTTCGGCGTCTTTGGTATGGAGGCTCAGCAACTTCCTCACTGGTACCATGGAAGGATTGGCTGCGTTTTGATCCTGCTGCTTGCACAGTGACCGGAACCGGTCTGGAAATCGGGTCCGATGCATCTGGAAAACCGTCGTCATCATCG